CCCTCTCTCTCCCTACCCACCCCACCCTACCCCAGCCCACCCTACCCCAGTTAGTGGCGAAACATTTTTAGATATTTGTAAGTAAGTTGTATTAGTGTAGTGTATTTTTAAAAAATTAAATTATTGGCATGAAGTATGTACATTTGAATCGATTGCATTCAATATTTAATCCAATGTTTCAACCTACTCAGTTTGTATTCATCTTCATTTTACAAGCTTGTATTTAGTTCAGAACATCTGTTTGTTTGTTTGTTTGTTTGTGGGTTTTTTGTGTGCAAATCTTGTAACGCGACTTTGACCCACTTCTGTTGTAGCGATTTCGTTCAAACTTTTCAGACACGTTCCATTTCGATGGCGACACAAATCTATTTATTTTTAAAATTTAATTAGTCATTAAAAAATTAATTAAACTGGTTCGAAACTAGGGACAGATAATACAATTTAATCACTCGATAGATTACTGTATTCATTAACAGAAAGCGAGATAACTAGCTAGACGCGACCACCCGACCAATCTGGTGAACTATGGTTCACGCCGAATGTTTAAAATCGTAGAGCGGGTCCCGTTAGAGAAGGCTATTAGCGGCAGATAACAGAGCTTTTAAACGATTTGAAAAATTGGGACATAGCAAGACTAAGAACTGTCCTTCACTTTATCAACTTGCTGTTGTCTGTAAACTATCGTCACGGACGGCTGCTTTCAAGGGGCAGTTAATCATATTTCAGATATCTCAAGCTACTGATGGTGTTTGAAAGCAAAAAGTTTTAGTTGTGTCGATTTAATAAATTAGGAATCAATAAAAATTAGAAAATAAAACAAATATAATAAACTTTATAGCAACATGCTTTTAAATGCACAGTAAAAAATAAAATACTCCTTAATGAGCACAAAATAACATAATGCTAACAATACACAAAACAAAATAAACACAAAACAAAATAAACACACAACGCAACCTAAAACAAAACAGGACACAAAACGCAACGCAACCTGTTTTGTAATCCTTGGATAAAATAAAACCTAAAATTAATCGACATACTGCAATATTTAAAAAAAAATGTAAGGCAAGCGAAATAAATTTTGTACTAAACAGAGCAGTATGTACATTTAACTATAGTTTTCAAATTGAAACAGATCGAGAGTTTATTGACCATTTATTTTGTAATAACTTATTACAACTTTAACAAATAATTTCGTCCGCAAAATAATTTCCGTCAAAGCTTGAATAGAGTTCTTGAAAGAGGGACGGTATAAATCGCGTCTCGTGGATGTCTGTTGGTACCAAACCTACAAGGTGGAACATTTGGAATAACAGCCTGCAGCTAATTTCAGAGTTTCAATGCGCGCTACCCTGTCAGGTAATAATAAATTAGAATGGGCTGCTACTATTTCGTCTCAACACACATACCCCACATCTCAACACAACATACCCCACATCTCAACACAACATACCCCACATCTCAACACAACATACCCCACATCTCAACACAACATACCCCACATCTCAACACAACATACCCCACATCTCCACACAACATACCCCACATCTCAACACAACATACCCCACATCTCCACACAACATACCCCACATCTCAACACAACATACCCCACATCTCCACACAACATACCCCACACAACATACCCCACATCTCAACACAACATACCCCACATCTCCACACAACATACCCCACATCTCAACACAACATACCCCACACAACATACCCCACACAACATACCCCACATCTCAACACAACATACCCCACATCTCAACACAACATACCCCACATCTCAACACAACATACCCCACATCTCCACACAACATACCCCACATCTCAACACACATACCCCACATCTCCACACAACATACCCCACATCTCAACACACATACCCCACATCTCAACACAACATACCCCACATCTCAACACAACATACCCCACATCTCAACACAACATACCCCACATCTCAACACACATACCCCACATCTCAACACACATACCCCACATCTCAACACACATACCCCACATCTCCACACAACATACCCCACATCTCAACACAACATACCCCACATCTCCACACAACATACCCCACATCTCAACACACATACCCCACATCTCCACACAACATACCCCACATCTCAACACACATACCCCACATCTCAACACAACATACCCCACATCTCAACACACATACCCCACATCTCAACACAACATACCCCACGTCACAACATACCCCACATCTCAACACAACATACCCCACATCTCAACACAACATACCCCACATCTCAACACAACATACCCCACATCTCAACACAACATACCCCACATCTCAACACAACATACCCCACATCTCAACACACATACCCCACATCTCAACACAACATACCCCACATCTCAACACAACATACCCCACATCTCAACACACATACCCCACATCTCCACACAACATACCCCACATCTCAACACACATACCCCACATCTCAACACAACATACCCCACATCTCAACACACATACCCCACATCTCAACACACATACCCCACATCTCCACACAACATACCCCACATCTCAACACACATACCCCACATCTCAACACAACATACCCCACATCTCCACACAACATACCCCACATCTCAACACACATACCCCACATCTCAACACACATACCCCACATCTCAACACAACATACACCACATCTCAACACAACATACCCCACATCTCCACACAACATACCCCACATCTCAACACAACATACCCCACATCTCAACACAACATACCCCACATCTCAACACAACATACCCCACATCTCAACACAACATACCCCACATCTCAACACAACATACCCCACATCTCAACACACATACCCCACATCTCAACACAACATACCCCACATCTCCACACAACATACCCCACATCTCAACACACATACCCCACATCTCAACACACATACCCCACATCTCAACACACATACCCCACATCTCCACACAACATACCCCACATCTCAACACACATACCCCACATCTCAACACACATACCCCACATCTCAACACAACATACACCACATCTCAACACACATACCCCACATCTCAACACAACATACACCACATCTCAACACAACATACCCCACATCTCAACACAACATACCCCACATCTCAACACACATACCCCACATCTCAACACACATACCCCACATCTCCACACAACATACCCCACATCTTGAAGTACATCTGTACCTGTTGACCCCAGGGAACATGTTGACGTGCAGGTGGTATTGATTTATTCAGTCCCCCCTCCATAATTATATTTAAATGTACATTTATTCAGTCCCCCCTCCATAATTATATTTAAATGTACATTTATTCAGTCCCCCCCTCCATAATTATATTTAAATGTACATTTATTCAGTCCCCCCCCCCTCCATAATTATATTTAAATGTACATTTATTCAGTCCCCCCCTCCATAATTATATTTAAATGTACATTTATTCAGTCCCCCCCCCTCCATAATTATATTTAAATGTACATTTATTCAGTCCCCCCCCCCCCTCCATAATTATATTTAAATGTACATTTATTCAGTCCCCCCCCCCTCCAAAATTATATTTAAATGTACATTTATTCAGCCCCCCCCCCCCCCCCTCCATATGGTTACATCTGGTTTTGACCAGAATCCACCAAACATTTGTGCCAGATACCAGAGACCAGAATCCACCAAACATTTGTGCCAGATACCAGAGACCAGAATCCACCAAACATTTGTGCCAGATACCAGAGACCAGAATCCACCAAACATTTGTGCCAGAGACCAGAATCCACCAAACATTTGTCCCAGAGTTCGATGTTCAGCCGTCCCTTCCTGACTGACTTGACAGAGAGAAGCAAAATGGCGGGGTAAAGATGTGACGTACACAGCGAGCCTACGTCTTAAAACCTCACGACGGTAGAGAGTAGGCCTCCCACTGTCCTGGTGTCTATAAGGCGGGTCTCTTCGCTGTATCATTCAAATTTTATTTGAATCAATCTCTGAAAAAAGCGTCACTAGCCTTAAAGTAGTCTTTAGAGGAGCCCCCCTCCTTCCCTGCATTAGAGACGAATGATTTGATAAATCGAACGTAGGCCTAATTTTGATCAAACGTCGTCGACTTAACTACGTGGCGTGCCATAGAGCTCTTCCCAACACAAAAAAGTCCTTTCATCCTAGCTGGAAACCTATGTCTCGCTCAAACATCTTTAGATATCCCACGACAAACATCTTTAGATATCCCAAGACATACATCTTTAGATATCCCATGACATACATCTTTAGATATCCCATGACATACATCTTTAGATATCCCATGACATACATCTTTAGATATCCCATGACATACATCTTTAGATATCCCATGACATACATCTTTAGATATCCCATGACATACATCTTTAGATATCCCATGACATACATCTTTAGATATCCCATGACATACATCTTTAGATATCCCATGACATACATCTTTAGATATCCCATGACATACATCTTTAGATATCCCATGACATACATCTTTAGATATCCCATGACATACATCTTTAGATATCCCATGACATACATCTTTAGATATCCCATGACATACATCTTTAGATATCCCATGACATACATCTTTAGATATCCCATGACATACATCTTTAGATATCCCATGACATACATCTTTAGATATCCCATGACATACATCTTTAGATATCCCATGACATACATCTTTAGATATCCCATGACATACATCTTTAGATATCCCATGACATACATCTTTAGATATCCCATGACATACATCTTTAGATATCCCATGACATACAACTTTAGATATCCCATGACATACATCTCTAGATATCCCATGACATACATCTTTAGATATCCCATGACATACATCTCTAGATATCCCATGACCTATTACACAAGGGACGCCAACCCATAGGAAAGCTGTAGAATTGCCATCTTGTTAGAGTGAGTCAATTTGTTTCAATTGACTTTCCCATGAACACACCCCCAACAACATGGCTGGTCTCACCCACCCCATCAGGTCACGTGGTCTCACCCAGCCCATCAGGTCACGTGGTCTCACCCAGCCCACCAGGTCACGTGGTCTCACCCAGCCCATCAGGTCACGTGGTCTCACCCAGCCCACCAGGTCACGTGGTCTCACCCAGCTCATCAGGTCACGTGGTCTCACCCAACCCATCAGGTCACGTGGTCTCACCCAGCCCATCAGGTCACGTGGTCTCACCCAGCCCACCAGGTCACGTGGTCTCACCCAACCCATCAGGTCACGTGGTCTCACCCAGCCCATCAGGTCACGTGGTCTCACCCAGCCCATCAGGTCACGTGGTCTCACCCAGCCCATCAGGTCACGTGGTCTCACCCAGCCCATCAGGTCACGTGGTCTCACCCAGCCCATCAGGTCACGTGGTCTCACCCAGCCCATCAGGTCACGTGGTCTCACCCAGCCCACCAGGTCACGTGGTCTCACCCAGCTCATCAGGTCACGTGGTCTAACCCAACCCATCAGGTCACGTGGTCTCACCCAGCCCACCAGGTCACGTGGTCTCACCCAACCCATCAGGTCACGTGGTCTCACCCAGCCCATCAGGTCACGTGGTCTCACCCAGCCCATCAGGTCACGTGGTCTCACCCAGCCCATCAGGTCACGTGGTCTCACCCAACCCATCAGGTCACGTGGTCTCACCCAGCCCATCAGGTCACGTGGTCTCACCCAGCCCATCAGGTCACGTGGTCTCACCCAACCCATCAGGTCACGTGGTCTCACCCAGCCCATCAGGTCACGTGGTCTCACCCAACCCATCAGGTCACGTGGTCTCACCCACCCCATCAGGTCACGTGGTCTCACCCAGCCCATCAGGTCACGTGGTCTCACCCAGCTCATCAGGTCACGTGGTCTCACCCAAACCATCAGGTCACGTGGTCTCACCCAGCCCATCAGGTCACGTGGTCTCACCCAACCCATCGGGTCACGTGGTCTCACCCAACCCATCAGGTCACGTGGTCTCACCCAGCCCATCAGGTCACGTGGTCTCACCCAGCCCATCAGGTCACGTGGTCTCACCCAGCTCATCAGGTCACGTGGTCTCACCCAAACCATCAGTTCATGTGGCCCTATATTGATGACGTCATCAGTGGCGGCTGGCGCTTTGATCAATTTCATTTGTAGTGATGTTATTGGACATGTCTAGGTCTCGGCATTTAAACTCTGTAATTAAACGGGTTGAACCACTGTCACTAGACAGGTTTAACCACTGTCACTAGACAGGTTTAACCACTGCCACTAGACAGGTTTAACCACTGCCACTAGACAGGTTTAACCACTGCCACTAGACAGGTTTAACCACTGCCACTAGACAGGTTTAACCACTGTCACTAGACAGGTTTAACCACTGTCACTAGTCAGGTTTAACCACTGTCACTAGACAGATTTAACCACTGCCACTAGACAGGTTTAACCACTGTCACTAGACGGTGTTCACGATGTCCATGTTAGAGGGGTGGGTAAGGTCAGTACGACGGATGTACCTCGACAAAATGTCCCACGACTAAATGACCCGCGTCAAAACGTCACCCAGAGATTAGGCCCGGACTAAACAAACTCGAATGGCAATTGAAGAGAGAACTCGACAAAATGACTCTAGATATGAAGGTTCCCCAACATTTGATCAGCGTCAAATTGGCTTCCGATAATATAGCTCATAATATGTAACTCTTCAATAAGATAATATGGCTCATAACAAGTAAATAATATGGCTCATAACAAGTAAATAATATGGCTCATAACAAGTAAAAAAGATAGTTGAAAAACTTGGTTTAATGCGGGGTGTAAAGGCACATATCCCACAGGCACATATCCCACAGGCACATATCCCACAGGCACATATCCCACAGGCACATATCCCACAGGCACATATCCCACAGGCACATATCCCACAGGCACATATACCGAGATCGCTGAACGACGGCAGCCTAGTATATTATATTGGGGTGCTTAGAAACATTTTGAAGGGAGTCATATTAACTTAGACCTTTATGTCGTGAATTATGTTGTGATCTGCACTGATCAGGACATTAATCTAGTGTCGCGATATAGTGACCTAATTACGCTCAGAATGATTGACCTATTTATATTCCAATCGACCTAGTTATATTCAGATTGACCTTGTTATGATACGACTGACCTAGTTATGTTACGACTGACCTAGTTATGTTACGATTGACCTAGTTATGTTCCGATTGACCCAGATGTGTGGTGATCACGGTGCTAAATGACAGCTAATTAGCTTTATGAATGTAGAGGTCACATGATGACCAATTTATGTAGCACTGTTGATTCTACCATTTGTTGACCTGCTTTAAATCGTCTGACCTACATCATAAAGAATGAAATGACCTACTTTATTAGGATAAATGGGAAGAAATTATTGTTCCCTTCTTATCTCACTATCCCCCCCCCCACCGAAGACAATTCCCCCAAATCTAGACACCCCCCCCCCCCCCCCCCACCGAAGACAATCCTTCCCACAGGAGTCGCCCTGGGTTGATTGTGCTCAGAAAGATTGTTTGGTATCGATTTCACACTTGTAAGAATCGGTAGCAATCGTACCTTAAAGATGAATTCTATGCGCGTAGTTGCGGGTTGTATCGTAGGGTGGTTGCGGGTTGTATCGTAGAGTGGTTGCGGATTGGGTTGCGGGTTTGTATCGTCGGGTGGTTGCGGGTTGTACCATGGAGTGGTTGCGGGTTGTATCGTAGAGGTGTTGCGGGTTGTATCGTAGAGTGGTTGCGGGTTGGTTGCGGGTTGTATCGTAGAGTGGTTGCGGGTTGGTTGCGGGTTGTATCGTAGAGTGGTTGCGGGTTGTATCGTAGAGTGGTTGCGGGTTGGTTGCGGGTTGTATCGTAGAGTGGTTGCGGGTTAGTTGCGGGTTGTATCGTAGAGTGGTTGCGGGTTGGTTGCGGGTTGTATCGTAGAGTGGTTGCGGGTTGGTTGCGGGTTGTATCGTAGAGTGGTTGCGGGTTGTATCGTAGAGTGGTTGCGGGTTGGTTGCGGGTTGTATCGTAGAGTGGTTGCGGGTTGGTTGCGGGTTGTATCGTAGAGTGGTTGCGGGTTGGTTGCGGGTTGTATCGTAGAGTGGTTGCGGGTTGGTTGCGGGTTGTATCGTAGAGTGGTTGCGGGTTGGTTGCGGGTTGTATCGTAGAGTGGTTGCGGGTTGGTTGCGGGTTGTATCGTAGAGTGGTTGCGGGTTGTATCGTAGAGTGGTTGCGGGTTGGTTGCGGGTTGTATCGTAGAGTGGTTGCGGGTTGGTTGCGGGTTGTATCGTAGAGTGGTTGCGGGTTGTATCGTAGAGTGGTTGCGGGTTGGTTGCGGGTTGTATCGTAGAGTGGTTGCGGGTTGGTTGCGGGTTGTATCGTAGAGTGGTTGCGGGTTGTATCGTAGAGTGGTTGCGGGTTGGTTGCGGGTTGTATCGTAGAGTGGTTGCGGGTTGGTTGCGGGTTGTATCGTAGAGTGGTTGCGGGTTGTATCGTAGAGTGGTTGCAGGTTGGTTGCGGGTTGGTTGCGGGTTATATCAAATGTGGTTGCGGATTATCGTCAAGAAACTTTCCAATGTCCTCTCGCGAGCTGAACTTTTCTTGACGACCCCTTTTTGTGGCGACCCCTTTTTGTGGCGACTCCTTTATTATGATATCCCTGTCGTTGTGTGATCCTTTATATTATCCCTACTGTATACACCCCCACCCCAATTTGAACAGGATGAATCGTTGTTCTCATAAAGAAACCAATCAACGGTTGTGGAGTCAGACGTATGAGTAGAGGAGTCAGACCACTGAGTAGAGGAGTCAGACCTATGAGTAGAGGAGTCAGACCTATGAGTAGAGGAGTCAGACCACTGAGTAGAGGAGTCAGACCACTGAGTAGAGGAGTCAGACCTATGAGTAGAGGAGTCAGACCTCTGGGTGGAGGAGTCAGACCTCTAGAGGAGTCAGACCTATGAGTAGAGGAGTCAGACCTATGAGTAGAGGAGTCATACCTATGAGTAGAGGAGTCAGACCTATGAGTAGAGGAGTCAGACCTATGAGTAGAGGAGTCAGACCTATGAGTAGAGGAGTCAGACATAATGAGAAGAGGAGTCAGACCACTGAGTAGAGGAGTCAGACCTATGAGTAGAGGAATCAGACCTCCGAGTAGAGGAGTCAGACCTATGAGTAGAGGAGTCAGACCTATGAGTAGAGGAGTCAGACCACTGAGTAGAGGAGTCAGACCTATGAGTAGAGAAGTCAGACCTCTGGGTGGAGGTCAGACCTCTAGAGGAGTCAGACCTATGAGTAGAGGAGTCAGACCTATGAGTAGAGGAGTCATACCTATGAGTAGAGGAGTCAGACCTATGAGTAGAGGAGTCAGACCTATGAGTAGAGGAGTCAGACCTATGAGTAGAGGAGTCAGACATAATGAGAAGAGGAGTCAGACCACTGAGTAGAGGAGTCAGACCTATGAGTAGAGGAATCAGACCTCGGAGTAGAGGAGTCAGACCTATGAGTAGAGGAGTCAGACCTATGAGTAGAGGAGTCAGACCACTGAGTAGAGGAGTCAGACCTCTTGGGACGGCTCGAGTCAATAGCTTAGGAATGCCAGTTTTAAACCAATGTTCTAAGATAAAAGGAAGACACAAAACAGAATCAAGTGAGAAAATGTTGAGAGATGAAGCTTACAGAGACCTTCAGACGGACTTCTACAAACTCTAGAATCCTAGACCGGTGGTCATCAACGTCAGTTGATGCTGCTGTGGTCTGCCAATGTTGGCTGATCTTGCTGTGGTCCGCCAATGTTGGCTGATGTTGCTGTGGTCCACCAATGTTGGCTGATGTTGCTGTGGTCCGCCAATGTTGGCTGATCTTGCTGTGGTCCGCCAATGTTGGCTGATGTTGCTGTGGTCCGCCAATGTTGGCTGATGTTGCTGTGGTCCACCAATGTTGGCTGATGTTGCTGTGGTCCACCAATGTTGGCTGATGTTGCTATGACTCCCCCATCCCAGCGTTGACTCGCATGGCAGTGCTGTGCCAGTTAAATATCCGGTGGTTTAGCGTGAGTGCTACACAACATCAGGACGCTGATTTAGCGTGAGTGCTACACAACATGAGGACGCTGGTTTAGCGTGAGTGCTACACAACATTAGGACGCTGGTTTAGCGTGAGTGCTACACAACATTAGGACGCTGTTTTAGCGTGAGTGCTACACATCAGGACGCTGGTTTAGCGTGAGTGCTACACAACATGAGGACGCTGGTTTAGCGTGAGTGCTACACAACATGAGGACGCTGGTTTAGCGTGAGTGCTACACAACATGAGGACGCTGGTTTAGCGTGAGTGCTACACAACATGAGGACGCTGGTTTAGCGTGAGTGCTACACAACATGAGGACGCTGGTTTAGCGTGAGTGCTACACAACATGAGGACGCTGGTTTAGCGTGAGTGCTACACAACATGAGGACGCTGGTTTAGCGTGAGTGCTACACAACATGAGGACGCTGATTTAGCGTGAGTGCTACACAACATGAGGACGCTGGTTTAGCGTGAGTGCTAGACATCAGGACGCTGGTTTAGCGTGAGTGCTACACAACATGAGGACGCTGGTTTAGCGTGAGTGCTACACAACATGAGGACGCTGGTTTAGCGTGAGTGCTACACATCAAGACGCTGGTTTAGCGTGAGTGCTACACAACATGAGGACGCTGGTTTAGCGTGAGTGCTACACAACATTAGGACGCTGGTTTAGCGTGAGTGCTACACATCAAGACGCTAGTTTAGCGTGAGTGCTACACATCAGGACGCTGGTTTAGCGTGAGTGCTACACATCAGGACGCTGGTTTAGCGTGAGTGCTACACAACGTGAGGACGCTGGTTTAGCGTGAGTGCTACACAACATGAGGACGCTGATTTAGCGTGAGTGCTACACAACATGAGGACGCTGATTTAGCGTGAGTGCTACACAACATGAGGACGCTGGTTTAGCGTGAGTGCTACACATCAGGACGCTGGTTTAGCGTGAGTGCTACACAATATAAGGACGCTGGTTTAGCGTGAGTGCTACACATCAGGACGCTGGTTTAGCGTGAGTGCTACCT